ATTTATAAATTTAAGTAAATACAATGGACAACAATGGACACCGAAATTATATGTCCATTGCTTAATCAATGAACAATAGACAGCATTTTTTGTCTAATGTTATCCATTGTCCATTGTCCAGTCATGATAACACTGATAAAAAATACTAAGCTTTTAATTCAACCATATTTGTGATATTTAGCTAATGACTTAACATTTAGGTAAAATATATGATAAAAAACTAATATATAATAAATTTGTAAAATACAAAGTTTTTTAAATTATATAATATAAATTAAGAATTTTTTATTTACTATTAATTTAGAACTTCTACTTATAAAATAAATAATTAAATGTTTCTTATAATTAGCAAACTAGATAAAAAATTTATATATATAATAATTAAAAAGAAAATTATTTTATAATAATAAATAATAATCTGATATAAAATTTTATGATTAGTAGTATATAAAATAAGGTGAAAAAGTTTATTATAATTAAAACTTATCTTTTTTATAAATATTAATCTTAATTCTATTTAAAAATATATAATAATATTTATGTAGTTATCTAATTTTTTAATTATTTTAGAAGTAGATCTAATAGAAAAGAGTGAAAATTTTTTTTTATCTATTATTATTTATCTATTATTATTATTATTTATCATTATTATATCATTATTTATTATTATAATTATTATTATTTATTTTCTATTATTATTAATTATTAAAAATGATTTAAGAATAAATTTATTATTAATATAATAAAATTAATAATTATAATTTTTATAGTAATTAATTAATTAATTTCTTATAATTAATTAATTACTACCTGATAATTAATTTTGCTTATAATTAATTATCAACTTGTAATTAATTACATAATTAATTATATATTAATATAATTATAAAGGAATTTTGACTAGTTTATTAATAGGTAAAAAAAGATTAATAATTTAAAGCTAAAGGTTTTTGTAATTCTAGAATTAGTTATAATATTTTTCAATATTTTTCTCATTATAAAAGTTTATTATATTTTAAATTATCTTTTGAATTATTAGTTATTAAACTGTTTTTATTTTAACTTAAATAAAAAATAAAAATAAATCAGATAAAATTCAAATGTTTAGATATAAATTCAAATATACTGTTACTTCTTTTATATTAGATTCTTCTGTTATTAAATTATTATTATTTTTAGAATTTGATAATTCTAATTTAATATCAGTATAATAAACTAGTTATAATTTAAGTAATTGGTTTCTCTCAAATTTTTAAGTTTTAAATATTAAAAGAAAAATTAGTTATTGTAAATATACAAATTTTATCTTTTTTTACAAATCATTATTTTTCTTATTAAATTTTTTGTAGATAATAAGAAATCAATTTTCCTTTTTTAATCTTTTATTCTTATTCAAGAAATTAGAGATTTGTCATTCTAATTATAATCTCTTTGTAATATTTGAAAAATTTTTCCTTTAACTTTTAATTTTCTATATAAAAATATAGAAATATATTATTAATTATTATAAAATAGTAATAGAAAAAATCAAAAATAATACCTAATTTTAAATTATCAGAATTATTAAAAATTCTAACTACAGTTATATATAAAGTACTTATTATTGATTCTTATTTAAATTTTGATAAAAACTGAAATTTTTTATATTATTTTTAAATTTCATTAATATTTATTATATATTCAGTATTTTTTTAGATAATTTAGTTTAATGAATATATTTTATATCTTTTTTATTATAGAAAAATAAAAAAAAATCAATTTATTATTTAAAAATTAATTGGTTGATTAATAAATTTAACTTATATTTTAACTATTTAAAAGATTTTAATAATAGAGGTATTTTTATAATTTAATTTTATTATAAAAGTAAAATATTCATTTTTTATTAAAAAGTTAATAAATTTAATTTAGTTCTTCTTTATCAGTCAATTTTAATTTTAGAGTTAATTTTATTATAGAAAAGTAAAAAAAAATCAGTTTATTATTAAAAAGTTAATGAAAATCCAATTTATATTCTTTTTATTTATTAGCTAATTTTAATTTTAAAAGCATATTATTGATATTATTTTTTTAGTTTTTTTATTTTTTATTATAAAACATTTATATTTAATTTAAATTATAAAATCTAGATTTTTATAATTTATTTATTAACTAGTTTATATATTTATAATTAGATTAAAATATTAATTAGAATAAATCTAATTGTAACATCCTATTTAAAGATGGTCACCGTAATTAAAAAAAATGGTGCAATTGAGTTGCAACTTGTGGCACAATTAAATTTTCTTATGGCGCAATTAAGTTGCAACTCAATTGAAATTTGAAAATAATTATAGGGACCATTTTTAATCCTATTACATATCTTATTTATAATACTTAAAATTTTATCCAATCAAAATTTAAGATCAGGTATAATGTCAATAATTTAACAAATTAAAACAAAAAATCAGTTGTATAATAAAAATAAGAATTTTTTTAAAAAATTTCAAAAAACTGTTTGTAACTAAAATTTTGTCTATGAAACTATTTTTAATACATTAAGTAAAAGTTTTCTAAATTAAATTTTACATTTAAAATCTTATTTATAAAATCTTTGATAAAATAATTTATTATTAAAAATAATAAAAAAGGGTATTACAAATAAGATATAAACATATAACAGGATGTTACAAATACATTTTTCCTATTAATAATTTATTTTAATTATAAATAATTTATATTTAAAAATAAATGTAAATAATATGTTTATTAAATAATAATTAAAAATTATATTTATAATTATATTTCTTTGTAAGGTTAAAAACCAATAGCAAAATATTATAATATAATAAAAATAATTATGTCAGTTAATAATTATTAATAAAACATATAATTATATCAAATTACATTATTATATTATATTAGTTATAATTTAAAAATCAATTTCATGCTAAATATATATATCAAAAAAAAAATTAATATTAAGCTATTATTTATTAATTAATTGTTTATTCTTTTATTTTTTTAGTTTTATATATTTATATGTTCAAATTATAAAAAATTAAATATTATTAATAAAATAAAATTTTTATTTTAGTATTAATTAAAGAATTAATTAAAATTTCTATTATTATATTATTGAAAAAGATAAAAATAAAATATAAAATATTAAACATTTTCTTACAAGATATATTAATACCAATTGTAAGTTTAGTATGTATTGAACTATAACAAGTTTTATTGTAGATTTTAGTTAAATTAAGATTTTATATAATCTAAAGTTATTTAGCATAATAATATAACTATCATTACACATGATAATAAGTATGATTATATATATAATAAATTGTTTTCTATTATAATAAGTATAGAGAGATAAGTAAAAAGTAATACTTTATTTAGACTTTTAACATTTACAAAATAGTTATAGTTGCTTGAAATAGTAATTTAAGAATTTTAAGCTATTTGTATACATTTTTTTTTTAGCAAGTATTAATATAATTCTATATTGATAATCTATATTTGTTGGCATAATAAATAATGAGATAAGAAGTTTACAAGGAACAAGTAATTATATTTTTCACGATCTCGAATTATCTGCTAAATTTGGATGTAATTAACCTTCACGAATTAATTTCTAAAAGGATGGTATTTTTAGTTGCGTGTCCATATGATATATGTAAGATGAGCGTATTTTTTAAATAGAATTTATATTTAACAAATCCAGATAGTGATGATTAATTTATTTTGGTGATTAATATTATTTATGCAGGGAACTATGATGTTCCAAATAGGGGTATTTTTAAATCAACAATCAAGTATTTTTAAAATACAACGGAAAAATTTTAAAATACTGTTTACACAATTTAATTACTTCTGAAGTTACATATTTTTAGTTATCTATGAAATAATTTTTACATTACGTAAAAATATATAGGAGGTATATTTAAAAAACCTTTCCGCCATGTTATTAATTGAATCTCGTGTAACAATGATCTCGATGATCTACAGATTCAAAAAAGCAATAACGGTTTTCACTATTTACGACAATTGTTCTAAATATATTCTTACGTAAATTTCAACATATTTTTTAAAAAGTGGAAGTATTGATTGTATGTTGTCAAATGTCTCCTGTCTCCTGCCTAAATATTCCGTTAATCTAATCCTATTAATATTTTGGTTTTGAATCATTGAATTTCTATTTACTCTTCTCATAATTATGCAAGTCGTTCGGACAATAAAGAAAAAGGATTACCCGGATTTTAAATGAACCGATATTTTCTAAAATGATATCGGTTTTATATGGTCAATGTGCTATAATATGCGAGATATATCTTCCAAAAGTTTATTATTGATCGCAACCAATGATTATTGTTATTGTTGGATTCTGGCCAAGACCGATTTGGTTACTCTCATTGAAATTTTAAATGATCAGATCAAAATCAAAGACAAATTTGCGTGAATTATATTAGTAAAGGAAAAAAAGTAAATCCCCCTTTTTTACTGTTAAAAATAGAAACAAAAGAAATTAAGTGCGAAGAAAAAGGTATATAAACGCTTAATTTTCACCTTCAAGCTCTTCACTTCTTTCAAAGGATAAAAAAAAAAGATCATCTTGAAGAAATTATATTCCTTTTTAAAAAACATTCTTTTCATACTAGCACTTTAAACCTCTTTTTTTTTTTATTACTTTGAAGAAATCAACAAAAATGAAATTTTCAGCCACCATTCTCTTAATCGTTGCTCTTTTTGGCTTCAATCGTATTCTCTGCTCCAACCGAATACAAAAAAGGATACGAAAATGATTTTCACAAAATTTGTATAGATATTGAATTTAAGAAACCCGTCGATGGCGTCATTTATAAGATCAATAGCACTCAAGTTGCGGATGTTGTTCTCCCCAAAGAATGTATTAAAAAATTCGGTAACATTAAAAATTTTTTTTATATTTATTTTTTTCAATTTTTTTTTTTTTTATAAAAAATTTATTAAATCGCTATTCTTTTTACCGAAATATATTTTTTTAAAATATCTAGGTCGTTATTTGAAGATCACTATCGAAATTTACAGTATTGCCGCCAAAAAAGTTGTTGATACTATCGTTGAAAAGGAATACGTACGTTTTTTCGTTATTTTGAAGATATTTTTATATAAAAAAATATATTTTTTTAAAATTCTATTAATTCTATATATTGCAGATCTATAAGCGTCCTACCGTCTTTCTTTACTTGATCGATAAAGTATGGGCCAATGATCGTGCCAAATACTTTCTTATAGCCACCGTCTTTCATAAAAAAAATCACGTCCAAGGAAAATCCGGAACTTTCATCACCGTGGATGACAAGAAAAAAAAGTATTATTATTAAATTGATTAGTTAGTTGGTCGTATCCATTATAAAATAATAGATTCGTTCTTTTATCGATATTTTTTTTTTCTGTTATTTCATAATTTTTTTCATTTCAAAATTTCATTTTCTTGTTGTTCGTTTAATATCATGTTTTAGCATTTAATAAAATTACCTTTGCTTTTATAATCTAACCCGAATCTTGAAAAGTTCGCAACAATTTTTCCAATTTATTTGAAAAAAAGTATACTCATTGGATAAAGTTATAACTGTCAAAATGGGTTTAAAAAAATATCACGGGTCATAACAGATAGCAAATCATTCTGCCACTATCAAATTTTTAATTTTTTAAAACGCGTTGAAAAAATTTTTATTGACGCAATTTCCGGCAGTAAGTTTTGCCGATATCCCTAGAACGAAAGCTCGGTGATTTTGATTGGTCTTAGAAATAAGTTTAACTATAATATTGATGATAAACAATTGTATCTGCTTATTATATGAACGTACAATTTTAGATTAATGAGATTGATCCCGGGTATTTTGTTTTCTTTTTTTTTTTGTCAGATTAAACGAAATACTCCGATTTTTAAAAAAATATAAAGGAATTTTCGGCTAATTTAGCAAATTGTTCAGGTTAATTTCATTGAAAATGAATGATAATTTAAATTTTTCAACAAATAAATAAAACAATTGATTAAAAGAGAAAAATCTTTTCCATTTTAGAGTAAAACATAAAACTCCTGTCCCTTGAATTTAATTTCAAAAGTGTTGTGAGGTTAATATAAATAATCGTACCATACCAGTAATACATAATAATAACAAGGTATCGTATATAAGCCTCTTTTCCTTTTTTAGAAAGTAAATAAATGATGATCACTTCCTTGTGATAATTTATTTCGAGTATCCAAATAAAATTTTACCGATAATCAAAAAGTTATGGAATTTAACAGATGAAGTATTATGAATTCTTTTTTTAATGAATTAATATAATTCCGAAATGAAAAAAAACTTTCAATCTGTTCTTCACTTCTAATCCTTGATAAAGGATTCATCTCCGAAAAAAAAAAAATTCTTTCACATATTCCTTACCTTGATGAGCAAAATGAAATTTTCAGCCACCATTCTTTTGATAGTTGCCCTTTTGGCTTCAATTGCTTTCTCCGCTCCGTCCGAATACAAAGAAGATGAATTTACAGGTATTTGTCAAAAATATTGAATTTAAGAAACCTGTTGGTATCATGTATATGATTAATAGCACTAAAAGTTGCGGATTTTGTCGATCCCAAGGATCTTATGAAAAAATTTTGTAATGTTAAAATGCTAAGTCTCTTTATTTTTATTTTAAACTTGTTTTTTTTTTTAAAAAAAAAAACAAAAAAATGGTCTTTTATTTCTTTTTATCGAAAATCAATTTTTAGGTTATAATTTGATGACCACTGTCGAAATTTCCAGTATCGGCGCCAACATAAGTAATTGGTTATTGTTACTATTACTTTATAATTTCGATAAAATCATTATCTTTAATTTATAAATTATCAAATTTTATCCTAGATATACAATCATCCGACTGTCTTTCTTTACTTGATTGATAAAGTGTGAGCCAATAATGACGCCAAATATTATCTTATCGCCTCTCTTCATTATAAGTATTATCATGTCCAAAGTGAATCTGGAATTTTCATCGTCAAAGATAAAAAGAATTAGTATTAGTCGTACTTATTTATAGAATAGCTTTTAATATTAGCTTAACTTCATTAATATATTATTATCAATTTACATGATTTTATCTTTATTTATAATTAGAGTTATTTTATTTTTATCACGTTGACCTTGATAAAATCTTATTTAGATCAAATAAAACTATAAATTATTACAATACTGAAATATAAAATTGGATTACGTATGTGATATGACCAATCAAACTTTGTACTATCTTTTTTTTTGGAATTTTCGTTTATTTCTTGAATTATCATTTATCATTTAAATAAACATCAATTTACATTCTATATTACCTTTTAATCTTGATTATAAATTTCTTGAATGCCAAATGTTACACAAAGGTGTACATTACTCTGAGTCGCGAAGTCCAATAAGTTGTTCTAATTGTTTGCTAAAGATTTGGAGACTTTCTCGAGTTAAAAATCTTTCTACTAATCTTTTTGTATTAAATGGCTTTTAGTGATGTTAGTGTGACTAAAAAATAAGCATTGTTACAGTTGTAATTTACTTAGCGTTAATCTTATTTTATATCCGTTTAACTTTCAAAATTCTTGATATTCAGTGATAGACATTCTTAAATATTGTCTTAATGCACCCTTGCCGGCTAATGATTATTCTTTTTTTTTTTTTTTTAATAATAATCCCATCGTTTGTCTTTACTGGACGGTGAATTGTGAACCTCTATCCAATAATCTAGCATGCTCGTGTCACACTGGGGGTGTGTTGTCAGTATAGTTTAACAAAACTATATCAAGTCCTATAGTAATTTTTACTATTGAATTTTTTTTTCGTATTAAACTACTAATATAGTAACACGGAATATCTGTACCTGTAAACCGGAATTATTTTTCCGAAAACTGTTATTAATATTGTATATCATCAATTATTTAATTAAATATAATACTGATAAGAATTCTAACGAATAAGCATTAATTTAATATAAATTACAGTTTTAATTATTAGCAAATTATTTGTTTAAAAAGTTTTGATGCTATATCAGGTCCAGATTGCTGGAGTTGTACTTCCTGAAGTGGAGTTTTTCTTGTTTCAACTCTTTATTTCCGCACTTTTTTTAATCCGCTAGCAAAGTCCTCTTTTGAAATCTTACTTAATGATAAACGAAGCTTAGACTGTTTCATTAATGATGACATATTTGCATGCATTTTCAGATCTAGTTTTTTGAAAAGACCTTCAACTTGTTGTTGATATATAACAATATAATAAATATGACTTTTAACGAAATTATAAATATTGGGAAAATGATACAACAATGGACTATCACAAATTCAAAATTGAGTAAATTCTTCAAGAAAATTGTTATTTTGATATAGCAATTCACTTAAACCAAAGTCATTTGTAATTCTATTATTTCTATCATCTTCCAAATTCTGAGCAAATCGCAATTCTAAATCAGAAGGTGGAGAGATCCAAGGTTTTTGGAAAATAACATGATAAAAGCTAGATGCAAATGATTGTGCATTATCTCCTCCAAGCCGACAAACTACTAATGGTAAATGAAGCCATGGTGAAAACAATTTATGAAAAGATTCTAAGGCTTTTGCAATTCCATGCTCTAAACCATCAAAGGAATCTCAAAAACTTTATTAGATAACAAATCCACAGACTCCATAAGCTGATCTAAAAAAAAAACATGTCAAAGTTGCTAGTAAGGTTTCGAATAAATCCATGCCATTCAAAAACTTTGTTAGGCATTTTATGAGCACATCACCCTGGAGGCATTAATTGTCCATCTTCATATAATCGTGGAATATTATCTTGTCCTACTATAAATTGCATTAGAGGTTCATAAAAATGCTCAGCAAAGTTAACTAAACATTTAACTTGAATATTAAGTTTTGGATCAGCAGGCCAAGATTTGAAAATATGCCAATCACTGAGGTAAGATTTAGGTGTTTTTTTATAGTTTTCCAATTCATTAATAAACCAATCTGTAAATTCAATATGAGCTGAATGACTATCAAGATACTGCTTAGCTATTCGCAATTCATAACCCCAATGAGATTGAAGAGGTAACCGATATTGATTATAATGAAATCCCAGTAGTCCATCATATAATTCTTGAATGATATGAGCATTTATGTTAAGTGGCTTACCTTTGTCACTTGAATTATAACCATTATGAAGCTTTCATGCTAAATAAAGTAAATTGTATAAATGAGGTTTTCTTGAGAAATCAGTACTATTTAAAATTGTTTCAAATGCTGCTTGTTCAAAATTACCAATTCGAATTGAATTTGTGCTACTTTTTTTTATTAAAAAGAACAATAGCCCCTTTTTTCACCAGACATATAGGCTGTATTATCCGTCACCCATAATGCACATTTAGCAAAATCTAAACCATTTTGTTATATATACTTTATAACAGTATCAGATACAATATTTGCATTACAATTAGGAATATCTTCAAGATGAGCTACAGTTACAACTGGTATTTGATCCTTTTGATTCCAAAATTGATAGCATAAAAAAAAGTTTTTTGCTTCATCTCGTGTTGATTCATCAACTAAGATTCCAAATGATGGAGTATTAATTGCCTGATGGATTTGAGTATCAATATGTAATTTTGAAATGTCTTGATGCTAAGTACACAATGTTGATACTATTAACCAATTTTGTGATAGCTCTCTAACTAGAAATTCTTAGATTAACTGCATACATTTTACAATAGAACGTAATGATACTTGACCAACTTGCAAGATACTAGTTGCAAGCCAAACAGCATTGGTTGTGTATTCTCGTTTATTTATTTGAAAAATAGATTTTAATTGCTTTTGAAAAGTTGTATTTGTGTGATAAACTAATGATTGAATTTTAGATATACGATTTGCATTTTGGTTGCAAAAATGCATATTTTGTATCCCAAGAGATTGTGTTTTCTAATTAAAATTTGATTTTGCCGATGAAGTTTTCTGCAATCAATCTTTAGATTTGTATTGGATATTTGTAATTCTTGATATGTAGATTTATTCTTATAAAAAGTTTGAGTAATATTCTCTTATGCTTTGTTTTAAAGATAGGGAGAGATAATTTTGCCTTCGTTTAGATCTTTAGGTATCGCATAGTTTTAATAAGATGATTTGTGATAAGGACTTCTTTCTCAGATAATTGTTGAACTGAAGAAATTAAATTAATTTATTCTTTGCTTGATTCTGGCAGCTTTGTTATAAGATTCAAAGTATTGTCAAGTTTTTGTTTATTCATCTCATTTATAATATCATTAATTTTTCTTTACTTATCATTTTTCTTCACCTCTAACTTTTTAGCTTGCATTTTACAATCTTTTTTAATTGAAGAGCACAGCTTGAAATTGGAAGCATTTTCCTGATAAAAAATCCTAAATTTTTAATATTCGATAACTTTGGTTTTAAATTAGTATTCAAACAAATTAAACTGCAAATAAGTATAATATTACTTGAAAAATAATGTGACATCTTTCTTAAAAAAAACAAAGAAAAAATTTTTTATTGATAATGTTTATAAAAAATGTATACAAAGGCTTATTTCGCAATGAATTTTATTTTAAAAAAGGAAACATGTCATTTGAAAGTGATAGTTATTCAGAATATCTTTGCTAAATTTTAAGTGAAAATTACGAGAAGAATTCAAAGTTATAGAACAAAAGAAATTTAACGAATTAAATAAGAAAATTGTTATAAAATAGTTTAATGTAATTTAATACGAAAAAAATTCAATAATAAAAATTACTATAGGACTTGATATATTTATTAAATTATACTGACAACTAGTGCTCCGAGCCAGTCGAGTCGACCTGGGTTGATCGACCTGACTCAAATTTTTTCTCGAGTCAGATTTATCATTTTTATGACACGAGTCCTAATTCGATAAAACCCGTCGGGTCAGGGTCATATTTTTCCTTGACTCGGGTGACCCAGGTGACCCGGATGATCAGTGATCTAAATTTTCATAATATAAATTACACGCTAAACTAATTTACATTACGCGACTTGAATTTGTAAACAAATAATATATAATGAGTGAAACTATAGACATTACCAATATAGACGTTACCGAA